GCGAATGGAGATCATGCCACTGCACCCCAGACTGGGCAACAAAGTGAGACTTTATCTCCAAAAAAAAGTCTAATGGCTGTGTCATGTGCGACATGACACATCTTACATGCACAGCTTGCATCAAAGTGCACTCTGCTGGGTAACTAAAACTAGGCAGGCCGTCTTACCAGGTAATGTGGTTTTCTTAAGGTAGCTAAAGCCCCTTACACAATGGTATTCCCATTGTCCAGGGCTGATTCAGGGCTTGGCTTTGAGACAACTAATGTGGGGGCATTAATCCCTGGAATTCACTTTGCTACTACTCTTGAACATTTTCTTCTCTGAGTTGAAAAAGACAGATGATTCCGTTTGGAGATACCAGCTAGGGAATGAGACACACAGGATGTTCATTAAAAGCAATTCCAGGTATTTTCTTCTCATACCTTGGTCCTTTCCCACAGCCTATTCTTTCTCCCTTGAAATAAACAGCCACAGTGTAGGTTCGGGCATGGGATGGGCCCACTGTCTGCAGAGTCCTGAAAGGGAAAAGAAAGAACATTTATTATGGTAAAGTGTTATTTGCCATGGTTACTATGAACTATGAGGAAAACCATGTACTTACTGCCTAGACAGAGGAAAGTAAAATAATAGGAAATGTGAAAATGGCAAAAAGGTAAAAAGCGTAAGTTTTTGATTTGCTAACCCGACAAATATGGAGAGCGTTTGAAATAGAAATTCTGAAAAATTCTGCATTGCATTTTAATATTTCTTCCCAAAGTAGTAACATCCAAAGGCTAACAGTGAAGTATAAAATATTTTTAAAGAGTTTCTAAGTGTGCATATTCAGAAACTTTTATCACGAAAAGAGCTCCAGTCTATTGTTTTTCAGTGCTAATCACAGCCTGAAACAATAAATATTGGGGTAATACACTTCAGGCCACATCTAATTGCTTTCACATCCTTTATGGATTCTTTCTAATGTCTGGTATCTTATCTAAAAGATCAGAAAATGTATTTAATTTCTGAAACATCTGAGATCACTTCAAAGGTATGCTTTAATGCCAAGTACACAACACAATCGCCAAAAAAACAAAGCTCCAGGTACTCTGGATTTTAATGGCACGGTGCAGACTTCAAATGCAGTAAAACTGATAACTTCATGGAAAAGGGAAATTAAAAGTAGCCAACAAAGATAATGGAATGAACACAATAATCTTAAAAAAAAAAAAAACATGTAAAACAACCCCATGATCTTGATAAAAAGAGCAAACTCATCTTGTACTTTCATTTGGGGGATTTATGAGAAGGGAGCATAGCAATTTCCTTTGTGTTCATACGCTCCATGGGATGAATGGGCACGAGTGGCTTCTTGAAGGTAGTACTTATTACAGTGATCATGCCTGTGCTATGGAAAGTTTAGCATCCTCATTTTATTTATGGAACCTTAATTATCACTCGGATGAGGAAATGCTATGAACCTTTCATAGAATACAGTTTGGATATTCATTATGCTTATTAGGCACATAATAAAGTGCTATTTCTAAACATTTGGGGCTTTTTTTCCCCCAATAAATAAAGGAAACATTGTTTAGCAGTGACAGCTTCTTGGCATAATTTATAGCAGCTTGCTGTGGGGTGACTCAACCTCTTTTCCTGGCCTTCGTTTTTCTTTAGCAAAAAGGCCTATAAAGTGTTGTGACTGTTAAATAAAAACATGTGAAAGGATGGAAAATTCCCAACTGCCAGTCTAATGTTTTTCCTTGTGTATTATGAAATTTGAGAAAGTCCAAAGGGGAGCTTTTACTCCATACAGAACACACACACAGATGTGTATGCTTGCAACTGTGTATGCAGCCACCTGGGGTGAAACAGTTTTGAAATAATCTTTAAACATCCTTAAAATCACATACCCAGACAATACCTTGAGATGCAACCCGCCTATTTCAATAATCCTTTCCTTTTGTAATTCCACTTTGAAAGCATCTTCTTAATCAACCTATGTGTGTCTCAAGGTACTCTACTTCAGAGCTGAACCTCCTGTTTTCATGAAAACGGGTATTAAGTGGTGTAGTGACCCACTACTTACCTACATTCCTTTTTAATGACTTTTGGCTACCACTCAAAGGATAAAGATATTCAAAGTACGTGATGGCTTTTGATACACATTCTGAGAAGAAAAGTTCCAAGTTGAAGCTAATAGGGGTTCAGGGAAAGTGCAGAGAGGCACCCAAACATTGCTACAAATAATCATACATGATCTTCTCATCTGGAGGCACAGCCCGGCAGAAGTTACAAGCAAGAAGACAAATATACAAATGTATATAAAAATCACTGAATCCAAATTTTCTTTTCGATCTCATAATCTTAGTTTGTCTCCCTCTCAGGCAGTAGTTCACAGAGATTTTTAGGAATGGGAGAGAGCACAGAGATAATGGAGTGGCACCCACTCATTACAGCTAAGACTGAGAGCCCCAGCGAGTTTCCCTGTGGGGCCCAAAGTCACACTGACAGTCAAGAAGTCTGAATCCTGGGCTCCTGTCATGATCACCCCTCAATGACTCGTTCTTCAAGGCACATGGAAAGTCAATTCTAGGCATGCTGGATCCAACCAATGGCCTGCAAGCAGCAAGTACTTACTTGTACAGAGGAATGTCTGGCTCTTTTCCTTCTGTCCTAAGTGTCAAGCAACACTGCTGAAGCTGGGATTTGGGGTCATTCCAATCCTGATTCAAAATGAACTCCTGTGGAAGTCCCCAAAAACTCTTTAGTAACGGGTTCTGGAATCACCAAACATAAAGCAGACCACTAATTCAAACTTTATATGAGCTTACTTTCAATCGTGGAAAGAAGCAGACATTCATGAAAGTATGAACATATTCCAAATCCTTATCAATGTATAGCGCTGCAATAAATGCTGGGGAAAAAAGGATACTTTAAAATAAACCACAATCACTGCCATTTATCAGAAAGACTAAGAGACCTAGACTTTTAAGCAAAATTTTAGTAACAGTTTCAACTTCCACGCCCTCTTTGTTTTTTAGCATTACCATTTCATCTTTCCCCACTTTTTATCATTAATATCAGAGCAGCAAGAGATGTGTAAGATGCAAATCATAGAGTACAAAGACCAAACTGCATTTAGCTAAGGGCTAAATGGTTAGTTTAAAAGGTACACAGAATGCCGCTGTATATCAGGGAAAACGTGCTATCTGAGCACCCAACCCTGTTCACATCAAATAAGTCAAAATACTACTTGAAGATTAGATATGATGCCAGAATATGCACATTCTTGGGTCTGGTCATTGTCAACACCAATCCTGAGATCCCCTGTTTTATAAGGATTCTGTTAAATTTCATGAGCAGAAATGGGATAATTTATAGATTCAATCTGCCCAAAAAGAGAAAAACTTACTACTGATCTTAATGACAACAGTATGTCAAATTTTGCATGAATAAATGGTGACCCCCTAGGATGACTTCATTTAAAGGTACCTCAACAAAGCAAACAAATGGTGGATTTTCAAAAGAAGGAATAAAAATATCTTTCATTGAGCTAAAAAAAAAAAAAAAAAGTGAGAATGATCTCTCAATTTAATTTTTATGTGATTTTCATCTTTAAATTACTTTTCTTTCATTGAAAAAGAAGTTCTTTTAAGTTGCTTAGTCAGAATGCCTTTGCACTTTGTAAATAAGCTGGTTTTGCATGGCAGACTTTGATACTTGAATATAATTCCAATTGTCAAAAATACTATAACACTAAAAAAGAAAAGTTCTAAGGCTCAGTGAATGGCCCACTTATTTTGAAGTAATACAAACAATACAACATGTGTATAATCCTTTCATTAACTATAATAGGATTATTTACAATGCTACCAGACCATATCAGAAACTGCAAAAGATGACATTTGTCCGCAGAGCTTTGCACTCATTCAAAACAATGGATAATAGTTTCAGTATTTAGTGAATAAATTACCCTGCTTTCTTCTGTGCCGCTATATGAAGGCTGCTGGGTGGCAAAAAGGTTCTGATTCACAACAACTGATCTTCATATCCTATTACTGTTTCACACAAAGGGATGTGGTAGCTGAGTGTTAGGATGGAGGGGTATGTGTAGGGGGTACGCTGAGCATAGATTGAACATAAAATTCACTATTCACATGTCTTAGTTTCAAATTATTTTCCTTCAGAAAAGCTTTGGTAAAAAGCATAAATAAAAATTAAAATAGCAAAAAAGGTTTCTTTAGCCAGAACATAATAATAATGAGGAGGAGGACAAATACGGTTACTTGGACTTAAACTCTGAACCTGAAGGTTGAGAGAAAAGTGTGTGGCACTCACATTCCAAAAGGTCCGCCAAGGTCTTGGTGCGAAGGGCCACGGGCCTCTTGGTCTTGTCGTTGGTTATGGCATACTCCTGCATGCCCAGCTCCTCCGCTACCTTGGCCTGAGTTCTATTATTCACCAAAGAGCTTCGCAACAACTGCCCAAAAGGAATGGGGGTACATTGAGAACACATTTCATTTTTGACCTCTCTTATTCCTGGGTGGGACCCAACCAGCCTGAGAGGATCTCACTGACGGGGACACCAAAATAAGTGAGGTCTAGGTCCTCAACCATCACCCAGATGACGGTGATATGCTCCATGCCTGTCTACCCTCTCCTTAGTAACGTGCTCCACTCTGCTATACTGGATTTTTACCTTACTAACATAAATGGCTCATTTACTTCTTTAGAAGCAGTGGGGCAGGGTTGTGCAGGGGGCAGGGATGTATAGTATGACTTAAGGTCATAGCTTCTAATAAGTTTAATGCTACTAAATGAGGAAGCATTAAGAGTTCTAAAAATCAATTTTATTAAAGTATAACTGACATTCAATAAAATGCACCCATTTTTAGTGTACAGTTAGGTGAGTTTTGAAAAACACGTACGTTTTTATCACTCCAAACAAATTCCCAGCATCTCCATGCAGTGAATCCTTCCCAACCCCTGTCCAGGCAAACTCGGCCTGCGTTCTGTCACTGTACATTAGTTTTAAAGGATTCTTTTTTTAAAGTCTAAAATAAGCTTCAAGTTTCATGGCACTGATGCTAATTTTGATATTATAGGACTTAAGTGAGGTTTAAGTAAATATTATGAAAAGATTTAAATTATTTACATTTTTACTTTTATTATTATTTTAAAGATTTATGGTATCTAGCTTGAGTCTCAGTTTTTCATACTGATATCCTTTTTTTTTGAGACAGGCTCTTGCTCTGTTGCCTAGGCTGGAGTGCAGTGGCGCTCCATCTTGACTCACAGCAACCTCCACCTTCTGGTCTCAAGCTATCCTCCCATCTCAGCCTCCTGAGTAGCTGTGACTACAGGCGCCTGCCATCATGCCCAGCTAATTTTTACATTTTTTTGTAGAGACAAGGTTTCACCATGTTGCCTAGACTGGTCTCCAACTCCACAGTTCAAGTGATCCACCCACCTTGATCTTCTAAAGTGTTGGGATTTACAGGCATGAGCCACTGCACCCGGCCCATACTGGTATCCTTTGTCTCTAATCAAATTAAAATATAATTTTCATATTTCAACTTTAGGAATTCAAAACAAAAATTTCTACTAGGAATTTCATCAGACAGCTAAGAGTCCTCCAAGAATTATCCAACTAGTAACATTATACGCTGCATGAAAATTATGCAACGAATCCATTATAGAAGTGTCCATAAAACAAGTATGGTTTAGGCATTTAACACTCATTAACCACTCACTAGGGAAGAGGAGAGGAGGACAGCTGGGAGCAAGTAAGTACATACAAAGATGGGAACTCACCAAACAAAAATGGAACATAATCATCCCTGATCTCTTAAGATTTGGGAGAATAATGCATCTACAACTACAACTTTTCTTAGAATACATATAACAAATTCTTGGTCTATTAAAAAACTTCCTGCTAAGAAACATTCCTGAAAACAGGGACGAGGAGCAGGAAGCAGCTGTGAGTTGTGCTGGTATTCCACTCCCTGCTGTTCCATGTCGCACTTTCTTTATTAGATGCAAGTTTTATGCTCTGTGGCTCCATGGTGTCAACAGAGCTTATGAAAATCAAGATTTATTCTCAGTGTCTGATAGTGAATCCTTGACAACAGATAAATAAGAAACAATATGTTCTTAATTTGTCTGACAATGATTCATGAAGCAGAAATATAACTTGATCTTCATAAGCCATGCTTGCTGTTGAATTTCAGACTATTATTCTTTGCCTGTCTCTGCTTTCTTTCCTCCTCCTATCTCCCCCTTAGCCCCATCTTTTCTTCAATATAGAGTTTCACTGAAATTAACATCCATAGAGGAGCTGAAAATTAAAAGGCTAGCATATAACATTAATAGAAGACCCAACCAGTAAGGAGCCCACTAGCCTAATATCTTGTAATTATGGAATAATTGAGCTGACAGTGATATATCTTTTTTGGTTTGGATTTCAAATGGGGACGGGGAGCTTTCCTAAAGTAGAGTCTGTGGGGGAATAGGATGGCTACTATGGGAACAAGGCTATGCTGAATAAGTTGAGTCCTCTCCGAATATATGCTGTCGGTATGGGAAGAAAACTCTTTAAGCCATGGACATGGAATGTTCATGCCTCAGATACAACAAGCCCGACGTACACATGAGCACACACAAATTATGACACATCACTGGCTGCCAGGCCCCAGCTGCCACCTTCCAGTGTCAGGGCCCCTCACTCAGTGCTGTACTGATGGGGAAGGAGGAAAGCAGTGAGGATGGAATCAGAAATGCTTCCAGTTTTATTTCAGACAAGCCCTGACAGGTCTGAAAGCAGAAGGGTGGCCAATAATAAGTGAGATCTGTAAGTTTTTGCCAAAAACCCAGAGGCTGAACCAAAAGTCAGTGGGGGAGAAGGAAGCTATACATCATCCATATTCTCATCGTCAGTTTAAATTTAGAAAATGAGTTGAAAAGAGAGAAGACCTTGCTCTTTACCTAGACAAGAAAGTCTGAATGGCAGTTCTCTAAATGACAACTTTCATCCTTGTCCTTTGCTGAACTCTACTTCATAATGAATCATGTTATTTGCCAAAGAACACGACCCAGGGGGATGAGCAAGAAAGAAAACCTGAGGTTACAGCAGTTCAGTGCACCAGTGGTGCAGGCCAATTACATGCCAGGCCCTGTGCTGACAGCTGAAGATCCTGAGAGGAGCAACATGCTGCTGCTGCCCTCAGGAACTGACACCCTCCTCGGAAGTCACATGCAGACCGGCTGTTGCAATGCACTGTGGTGGCCGCAGTGCCAGCACAGAGACTGCAGGTATACACAGGTGCTCCTCTAGACCTCAGCCTTCCAGGGAGGCCTCCTGGAGGAGGGCTGACATTTGAGTAAAAGCATTTCAGGGCCTCATTTCCCTGGCTGTACCACCAGAATCGTAAGGTGCTTCTGAGAAGCTGGTGCCCAGGCTTCTTTCAGGAACCAACGAATCAACATTTCTGGAGATCTAACTTTTGAAAAGATTCATGTAGGTGGATTCCGATGAACACAGAATCAGAACTGAAAAAGACTGAGTCAGCCAGTTGAGAGAAGGGTGGGAAAGGGTTTCCAAGGAAGAGAGAACAGCTATGGCAAATGCAAGGGGCCATTACACAGCGAGGTGACTGCTGGGTGGACCTGGAGGGGAAATCAGAGCCAGGTGAGGAGAGCTGATGCAGTGCGGCTGGCAGGTGATGTAAAGAAGCCTGAGCTTTCCTGTAGGGGAAGAAGAATCCCAAAAAGTATCAAATGGGGGCAGTTGTGAGGTAACTTTTTTTTATTTTACAAAGATTATTTTGGCAGAAGGATTTAAATGGGGGCAAGACATGAAGTTGAAAAGCCTGTAGATGGTGACATTATAAATTACTATTTTACAAAGAGGAAATATCTATATATTTTAGTGGAAATCTAGAAAAAAAACCTTAAGCACCCAATTGAGCAGAAAACAGTTATCAGACTATTTTGCAAACAATGCCTTATATTAGAGATAGCAAAAAGCAAAATATTTCACACCAAGTTACCTGGGTTCAAACTGTGGCTCTAGCACTTCCTAGCTGAGTGACCCTGTCTAAGTTATTACATCTCTCTGAGCCTCAGTTTCCTCATCTATAAAATGGAGAATGTAGTGCCTAGCTCTCAGGGTTGGTTTGAGAATTAGAGTGAATGACATATAATCTAACTACAATGACTGGCACATGATAAACACAACAGAAATGTTAGCTGTTGCTGTGTTATCCACAATAGCACCATCACAATTAGACAAAATACGTTTGCTCTTCAGTTATGGGGAAAAGTTTCTAGAAAATTCCAAGAATTCCTCTGAATTTGTTTTCAATGTAAAATGTTTTCAATACCTGTCCTGTCCACTCACTGTCCTCAAAATTCCCCATTTTACCACGTGCTAACCTGTCCTTAACAACTTTTAAAAAAATACTTCCAAAAAGACAAAGTTTAATTTGAAATCACCAGAAATGACTAAGAATGCTATACTTAAAGCTCTCTGTAAACCTGAGAAAAGGACTGCTGAATTCCTGGTGCAATGTCACAGACCAATGTAAATATCCCAGATCTCAAACTCTGGTATTGAGAATCCAGGATGTTTTCTACTATCCCAGCATAGCACTCTTTCATCATTACTTTAAACTTTCATAAGAAAAAGATTTATTCGTTTAAATAAAACATACATATTAACAATCTTCCTTCAAGTTCCCTATTTCACTCTTGAATCTAAAGAGAAAAACCACAGTTGGCAGATGAGCTACCAAAGAGGGCCACCTAGTGTAAAATAAGCAGACTGTGATTTATTATTTTGAGGGCTTTAATATAAGAACACGGGGTGAAAGCAGAAGATACTATTGAAAGTGACAGTGATATGCCACACAGGTCTATTATACCGAGAGTGGTCGCCAGATGGTCTCCATTTCCCGTGATAACTAAAGAAAAGGTACATAAATGCCAGCAGGCAAATACGGGTCAGATACAAAGAGCCAAATTATGTCAGTGACAGAAATCCTCAAACAGGAGGCTGTGGAATCTATCTTCTCAACGAGATCTTTTAGATAAAATACCTGTTTGTCTGAATGATTTATGCTCAGTGCTGTGTGGAAGCAGCAGGGCAGGATTAGATCACTGGTTCTTGAGCTTTGTATCTGTAATCCTTGCTCTCTTTCCCATTATCCCAAATCATTAAAAACAAACAAAAACTGTAGGTTCATCACCACTATAGTGCATGCCACCATTGGGTACAGTGCCTTGCACACAGTAGGCATGGAGATGAGCAACTATTTTTACTACACACTAAAGGCTAAGAAAAGAAGAATGATACAGAGGAGAAAACTCCTATGGCTAAAGATTTCCAAGTGTTACATGACAGGCATCCTGGCCTGTGTAAATACTTTCTTTGAGGCGTTCTCACAATTTATACTTTGACCCTACTGCATACACCATCCTAAA